ACAAGGATCATAAGGGCTACATATGGGCAAACTTTCAGATCGAAACGATGTAATTTGATTTTTCGATGAATCCCTTGTCATAGGTAGAAAATCCAGTAAAATGCTCGTAACTCGGAAAGAAAGGCCTATGGGCCCATATCCTTTTAGGCTTTTTCTATTCTTATCAGGTCCTGCTTATGGGCAAAATATCAGCTCAAAAGCTCTGAATCACTTCGGATACCTCCCTCGTTAGTTACATATACAATCCGTTTGAGCAGTATTGTTGGTGACTTCCCGGCGAAGCTATAGGTCAGACTAAGCCTAAGAAGAGATGAGCCTATGATTATGATTTGACTGAGATATAGAAGTTCCTCTTAGAACAACTAGGCTACCTTGTACAAAAAACAAAAACTGAGTATACTTGGATGTAATATCATCAACACTTGGATTTTTGAAAATCTATGTCTAAAAACTCATTTTTTCGCAGTAGACTCTTACAGGTGATGCTATTACTAAAAACAATGATGCACTCCTCTTTAGTATAGGAAGAAAGAGTGTGAACAATAGTACTAGATAGATTCTAGCATCATGCTGTCTTAAGTGACAGATACTATACCAACATGATCTTTTTTTTGTTATGAATTTTTTTAAAAGTGATTCTCTTTACTCTTGGTATGAACAGCTAAATAACACAATCTTTTGTCTTCTACTTATATTATCAAAAATTCTATCACTTGACTTCCATTCATTTGTTACATGTAATCTCACTCGTGCGCTATTATTTTCCTACTGAAAGTCTAAATATGCCATCGAAGCATTTTTCAGTAAATATCAACATCAAAAGCGATAATCTCATAAGATATCCTAAGGCACGAATCTTATCTAAATCATAAGAAATACGTAAAATTCGATCGTAATTTTTTTTTTTCATATGATTCTTGAATGATCTCTATTGAAAGTATTGCAAATTTTGCTAATAACAATAACATTACACTAAATCCAAATTTAGTCACTCTTGTTTTTAAGTTTTTTTATTTGCATCAGATTTATTGACTTAAAGCCTTTTCTTTTCCTATTTATAAACAAGGATAAAACTAGATTAGATGAGTTTATATCACTGTACATTCTAAATTTACATAATAAAAAAAAAAACAATAAAAATAAATAAATAAATCATTTAAACTTCATCTTCATCATCACTCCATTGATCTCGATTTAAAATTTGTCCTAAAGATCTCGTAGTTTCATGTCTTCGTTCTTGAGTTTTCATTGATAATTCATAATCTTCTTGCTGTTTTTTAATAGCAGCCCAAACAAGTATATCATCCGAACATGAATAAAGTTCAACAGATAAACGATTATATATACACGTACTAACCGGTAATAAATGACCATTTAATGTTGTTAAACGTTCTCCTGAAAAAATATCATAAACACGAATTGATTTTCCAAATGGAACATAAACAAGACTTTTTGTTCGATCATGTTTCATTTGTGCACATGCTAATGTTATAATACGAATACTATCAGTTAATATTGGACCATAATTAACAAGTAAACGCTGACCATTATTTACATTCCATAAATACATATGATTATCTATACCAAGTGTTAATAAATGTGAATTATCTGGCAAAAATTCAAGAGATTTTACACCACGATGATGAGCTATTGATGATGTTGATGTTGTTCGAGATTGTACTTGTTGATTATCCGTTAATATATTATCACGATCAAGTGCCATATAATATTTATGAGAACTACGAATGTCGGTAAAAAGTACTCGTCCATCGGCTCTATTAAAATAAAAAACAATGAAGATTCTTCAATATGTCACAAAATAAGATTCAAATGTTATATAAGATATATGAAGCGCAATCTTCTATCAAAATTTTATCTTTCAGAGGGCCAACTCGATCTTTGAACTGATGTTCATTAGAGTTTGACTCCTCCATGTCGTATGCTTGTTTGCACTCGTACTAATTTATCAACGATTAGAATCACTTGAATCTTTCTCTACACCCTTATCTATATCCACTATTCTATGCAAGTACGTATTTATTCCTGTACTTATTGTAACAGTTATATAAGCTTCAAAAGTTCATTAATTGAACTAAGTTTTTGAATAGTTATATTATTAAAGGACGAAAACATCTTCTATATAATATTCCAATCAAGATTTTTTTCTTTTATTTAAGATAGTTTCTATCTTTTATTTTAAATAACTTATTAAAAAAAAAAACTTGTTTATATTTCAATCGTACGAATAGAAAAAGCACAAATTTTTTCTTACCCTCCACTGGCTAATAAATTTGGATTATTATTAAACCATTTAACTAAACATATTCCTTTTTTATTATGTGAATGAATTATATGTGAATTCGAACCAGTTCGAATATCAATTAAACGTAAATCTCCGTTTTCATGTCCAATTGCAATTATTGATGTACTTGTTGTTGATGACATATGAGCTGAATAAGAAAAATTATTAAATTCATATTCATCAACCATCTAAAAAAAAATGAAATCTATTTATATTTAATTATTTTCTTTTTCTATTTTACTTTCACTCGATTTGTATCCCAGATTTTAAGTTTTTTATCTAAACCAAGAGTTATAAATAGACCATTATCATTTGGATACCATATAAGTGAACAAATATTATTTATATGATGATCTCGATTAGAATTTCGATCAATTTGAAATATAATTGGATGTGTTACGACTAAATTTGAAGGAAACATATCATGACAACATATATGTCCATTAGTACCACCGGATAAAAGACTAAAATAATTAATTAAAATAATTTAATAATTCTATTTTTGAACTTACTATCGATATTCTGATTGTTCTAAAGACATTGTAGATATTGATGAATGATGATAAGATGTTAAATTTCGATATTTACATAAAGTAAAATTAGCAAGACGTCGTGTTTGTTCAATATGAATAAAAGAATTTTCAAGACCATATTCACGTGCACGTAATAAATTTGCACGATTTGGTACACGATATTTATCCATATGTATTCTTGAAAAAGAACAGATTTAAAAAGCAAAACAAAATTCTATTTATCTGAAAGATTTTTTTCATATTTCTCAGCAAAAAATGTCCAGGACTGAGCCAATACAACCTTTAATAAACTTCACATTACATTTTATGAACATCAGCGTTTCTCTTTTTCTAATTTCTTAGATACATTATTAAGAGTTGATAAGGCAATAGAATAAAATTAAACTCGGAAGTGACAAATTTCACAATATCTATCATATAGTGTAAAGACAATGAAAAATTTTCACATCAAATGTCTCTTGTTTCTGAACTTATCATATACTGATATTGATTATATGATGTATATGATTCGAATTATCGCTTATTTAATCGATCTCTCTATTGTGAAACATCGTTTTTGTGTCAAGAATTTAGCAAAAAATTCTATTTAACTTTCTTATTGGTTGAAATCATTCAATAAAAATAAAATTTTCTTATTTTTCAAAATTTGAATTAATTTCCTTTTTTTCTTTTTAAATAAAAATTTCTGTTTTGTTTTTTTCATTAAAAATTTTCTAGATGTCGCTATAAACCAATGTCTTTGTTTTCTATTTCAATGTTCACATTTTATTTCTTTTTCTTTTATTTCATTCTAAATGGCTCTTCATCTACTCGAAGCTACTCTAACACAAGGTCCATCTTGTTCAGCTGATGATATAGCTGAACTTGAAATTCATGTACGAACTGAAATCGAACGTTATGTTCAATTAGAAATTGAACGAGAACTATATGAACTTGTACAATCGACAACAAGTGATACATTATTAACACCAACAATATGTTCAACATATCTATCAAATGGTGAAATAAATAATGAAACATCAAAAAAAAGAATTAAAATAGATAGTGATGCAGCTAAAGCAAGTGCTAAAACAAATATGGAACTTGATCAACAATTAACAGAATTAAAAAATAAATATTTAACAGTAAATTTTCAAGAAAATATTTTGAAAAATATAAATTCGTTTTTTTTTTTTTCATTTTTTTGTAGAAAATAGCTGGACCATTATCAACATTAGAAGCTTTAAAATTAATTGTCGATAAACAAACACATGAAAAAAATCAATTAGAAAATGAAATTCTTAAACTTAAACAATTATATAATGAATATAATCAATATGATGAATATTCAATGAAAATGTTAGAAAATATTAAAATTCTTAATCATACACAATTAGCTGTATCAAAACATGAATCATTATTAGATTTGAATAATCAAAACAATTCTAATGATAATAATATTGATATTGATCAATTTGAACAATTATCAACTTTATTATTACATAAAATACTTCATTTACCTTTAGTTGATATGAAAGCTAAACATTTACATAAACCAGAACAAAAATAAAATGTAAACTTTTTTTTTTTTTCTAATAAATAAATTCCAATAGATAACTACAAATTGACTATTTTTTGTTTGCTTTGTATCTATTCATTTTTTTGTTTTTCTTAAATCTGTTGTATATATATATTAATTATATTTATAGCAGGTATTTTATTGAAAGCTTTGGAACATCTATCTATATTGTACTTCGAAAGTACGAGTAAGGATAATTAGATTTCTCATGATAAACAAGAATTTTATTTGTCAATAAAACGAATACGGTAAGAATTTCAGTCTAATATGAATCGTCAGGATTAACTTTTAATCATTTCCAATAGATTTATTGAAAAGTAAAGAGATCTCATCGCTTCAGATGTGCTCCGAAGTCGTCAGGATTGGAAAGTCTATCGAGAAAAAAAAAATAGATACATGCTGAAATTCTGCTTAGGTATCGCTGTGTAAGTTTTATCAAAATTTCGTTATCTCTATGTATTGATTTGTAAAATAATATTTTTTCAAATGGTTATAAAGTATTTATTTTAAAACAGTTCTAAGCATTTATTTAATCACTGTAAAAAAAAAAGCGGGACAAAAATAAAAAAGAAAAATTTTTTTTTTTTGTTCAACAATCTATCTACGACTAGATTATTATAAAGAATAAAATTATTAATAATAAAATTGATATTGATGATTTATACGAATGATTTTTCTGAGATATTATTTGTTTTGTAACTATATTTGATTGAATATCACGTTTAGCTATAAAACAAACATTAATAAAAAAAAAAATTAATTGTTTTTTTTTATTTCTTTAGTGAAAAACTTACATGATTCATTGTCATTATTAATCATAAACGTCGAAGATAAAGATGATTTAGTAATCGTAGACAATGTCATTGAAGGACGACGTTCTGTTATATATTTTATATGCTTCGTTGATTGAATTATTTCTAAAAAATAAACATATATCTGTAGACTAATCAAGGTTTATCTCCAACTATCTTTATAAAACCTTTAAGTACAAATTCAGCATGATTAACACCTAATAAATTTCTTGCACGACATACATATGGTCCAAATAACGATGCATCATTTAACTAAAATAAATGAAAAAATGGTATTTTTGTTATATTTTTTTTTTCCTCTAGATTAAGTCTTACATAAATAGTTATTGTTAATTGTCTACATGTTTGATTAATAGATTTATCGAATTTTTCTTTGATTCCATTTATTATTGGAGTTGATTGTTTTGGACGAAAAAAATCGAATATTGTTGTTGATGGTATTGAACAAACTTGACATATTATTGTTGCTGTATCATACAAACGAAAATGAAATAATTGAAATAGAATTTTAACTATTGGTTTATCTAAATATTTTATATATAGAATATAATAAAGAAATAAAAAATTCAAACATACATTTAACATAAAGAAGAAATTGTCGATTGACAGTACTTAATATATTACTTGCTGAACAATCGACTCGGCCAGAATCAAAACGTGAAACATTACGTAAGATAAATATACTTTCATTTTTACCTTCAACTATAAAAAATATATATGTGTGACTTGATGTCATTAATTTTCATATTCATTTTCTTTTCTACATACCAATAGTCACTGTATCTGACTTTAATAAACTATTGACATGCCAAATAATACTTGGTGTTGGATGACCGGTTGCTGTACATGAGAATTGAGCATCATTACCTTCGCGTACTGTCATACGCATATGTTCTGGTGAATGTGAAATAATTCGTGGTGGGACTAAAAAAATAGATATCAAATGTGTCTCATGTGTAAAGATAAATCAATAGTGTTCATCAATAAATTAATACGATGAACGTGATTTTTTGATGAATATTCATTTATTGATCATATCAATCATTTTCTTATGTTTATTATTATCGTCTAGAGAATAAGTTGATAGTCTTTTCATTTAATGCTTCATTGAATAGTCATTTACTATGATGTGGATGTCATACTTGAAAAACAATTAGTTTAGGTGTATATTCAATGCACAGCTGGTTTTAAATACTGATAGTAAGTAACACTTACTACCACCACTAACTTTATTTGACATCAAATAAGAACGTGAACACATACAGATTGAGCACAATAGGGAAAAAAAAGTGTACATTTTTCAAGTAAGCTTCGTATTATTTTATTCATGAAATAATCGTTAATAAACGGATGTTACAGATCGAAATTTCTTTTCTTCATCATACGGAAATCACACGTCTGCAAAAAGGTGTTAAGCTATTTCATAATAGCAAATGTATTTCTTTATAGATTTATATATGTCTGATGAGACCTCCTATTGAAAAAAAGAATAGGGAAGGAGGAACAATGCAAATAGACACACACACACACACGCGCACGCTCATATATACACAAGATCCAAATGTAAACGCACAAGGCGGATTGTTTTTGTCTCTTCATTTATATATGTCTATGTGCATATCAACAACACTCGTGATGAGAGAAGGTCAGTCAAATATATACATATACACCTCAGACATATGTTTGTTTTGTCAAAATGAATCCAAGAGTGAGGATCAAAATAAAGATATGATCATATAAAAACATATATTATCGCCTAAAGAATGACAAAAGACAACACTTACCAAGTACATCAAGAAAAATTTCATTTAATGTCATATCACCATGTATACAACGGTATAATCCATGATCTTGTTCTTCAATATTTGTTATACGTAAAATTCTTTCTTGACGATCAATATTATTCATTGATAGAATACTTAAACGATTGTCTCGTACGGTTATAATTGAATCAAGACTGACAATATCTGCTTGATCATCACGAATCCAGACAATCTTTAAAAAGAAAAAAAAAAGAAAATCATCTTCAGTGTCTATATATATGTTCACCAGCTGTTCATAACTCATGATGTCATTATTATTATCATTATATACCCTCTGGAAATTGTTCTCTTTTTTCTTTTTGCTTTGAATAGCTCAAGTCGAATATCTATATATATAAACACATGTCCCCTTTGGCATTTACCTTTGCAGGATTTGTCGGTTCAATATTTTGACCGGTAACTGAACAGGCTAATTCAACAGTACTAGATAAAGCTGCTTGAATTGTTTCTAATTGATAAGTTAAATAAAATTGTTGAATTATAAGAGTAATAATGACAATAGACAACATTCGATAGGCATCGACGATTGAAATTGTTCTTTATACCTTTTGAATCCACATACAATTGAATGCTTGAAGAATACCAAACAAAAAAAAATAATGGACAGCGGAAATTATTCTCAGCACAGTGAATCTACTTTCATTTTTTTTTTTTTTGTTTTCTCTCTTTCTCTATGTACGTATATATATATATATATATAGTAATAAGAGAAAAGAAATCAAGTTGATTTGTTTCAAGTGGAGAAGATAACTTCTGCTTCTCTTTCTCTCCTTCTCTCTGTCAGAAGAAAAAGACGACAGAAGAGAAAAAAAAAAAAAAGACAAAAGAACAAAGAGAAATATTTTCTTCATCATTGAGTGACAGCCTCATATACCACCATGGGTTCTTCATTCATTCACCTTTTTTTTTTAGTCATTTATCACATTACTTAAATAAGTAATATATGTATAGATTTTCAAAAAGGTCATTAGTAGCATATGAATACCAATGTTCATAAAGATCGACGTAATTGTGTGCTGAATGACTTCATTAAAAAATGCTTTTGCTTTTTCAATTGAGTGATTAATGAGCCTTGTTTATTTCTTTCGTATTCCATGATAAGTATCTGGCAAGGATAAACATATGTATACATTTATGTTTAAATGAGGATGTCTTTACGCATAGTTTAACATGACGTTTACTTTGACTTGACTGCGATCAATATTCTATAAGTAATTGATTTTCAAAGTTTCTTTTTTTTCTCTCGCGACATACATATAAACACACACAATTCCAATTCGTCATATGTAGCGGCGACTACGACGGAAACTTAATGCAAATAGTGATGATGAAGGGGACGAGCTAATGAGAACGTCCACAGACGGACCAAAGCATATTACTACTCAAATGGACTTAACGAGAAAGAAAGAGTGATTAACAAACAAAAAAAAAAAAAAGAGTTGGGCGGAGACAATATGAGAACCGATTCTTTTTTTTTCTTTTACTATGTATACTAACCATCTGGACAAATGATCATTTATATTTTATAGCTATAGATACAGAACAACCGTTAACTCTTTAATATCAATATCATGATTTGATGCCAATGCTTACATCATCAAACATAGAATATCATCAAGTTGTATATGTAGCAGGAAGTTGGTCTAAATGAAGTTTAAAGAATCAATTTAGTATATATACATATATTTGTCGTCGATCTTATCGATGATTTCTACTGATAAATATATTATTGACGAAAAAGTCTTTGATTCTAAATGAGCCGTTGAAATAAGATTGGCATTGACAAAGCATATGTGACGACAGTCTTCAGGTGATGCAATCTGTTAAATTAGCAATCATTAATGATAGAAGCATTTTTTTAACCTTGAAAAAAAGGACAACGAACTATTGTCTTGTCTTCCTATGCCAATAACATATGTCTTTGTGCACATATAGAATACACATGAGTTTGGCTTCAGATAATATTTCCTTGATGGATTAAGACTAAATCTGTTTTTCTTTTTCTTTTTAATCAAATTTAGATGTCTGTATATAACACGAGAACATGCCATTAATATGAATGGAACTTTTCTCTCTTTTTTTTTTTTTTTTTATGCAATTGTTTCATCGTAACGATTCACGTTTGATTAGACATACGCAGTATGATAATTTAATTCGTCATTTTCTTTTGTCCTACGAACAAATATTTCATCGATTGTGCTTCAATAAATTCATCTATGTACTGTATTGATAGAATTGATTCTTTCAATTTTTATTGTGACACATGATAAGTGTCCATTCAAGTAGAAAAAAAAACCTAAAAGAATATAATCAAGAGACTGAAATTGAGATGATACCTTGAAAATGTCTATTGTAGTGTTGTACAAACATATTGATGGTCATTTTATTTTTTATTTTATTTTTTATCGATTTCCTACTTGAGGTGGTAATTAAACGGAAAAAAAGAATTGTATGTATCAGGCGGAGAATCTTCGAAGATGGAATGCCGGTTAACGGAAACACAGTATTAAGAGAAAATAATTGAAGATATGGTGACAAACAATAACAATATCAATGCGGCAGTTTGCTTCAATACGATGAACTAATGAATTTAATTTTTCTTCAATGAAAATAATAGACAAATTTGTTTGTTCTCTCGAATGCTTATGAAATGAGTGAGAAAAGTTCAATTGTTTTTAGATTATTATTATTTCGAGACAACTAGAGAGAAATAGAAATTAATACTTTTGTTGATTTTATAGAATATGTGTTCTATTGTTAGAATCGAAAATTGCTAATAAGTTCAAAATCACGATGATGTACTCTTTTGCATGTTTCAATAAGTTCTAAATATTTGTGTTAAGTTAATGGACTGGACATAAATGCCAATAATTACAAATTAATTATTGATCTATGTTAAACTCAAACATCATCATTTTTCTTTTTTTTTCTTCTGTGCTCATCTTAATATTATAAATGAAGCCAAAGACTTCGATAATAACCAAAAAAAACCTTTTGATCTTGTTGTTAATTACGTGTATACGATAATATTACAATTCTATTTTGAATATATTACAAGTAATAACAGTAGAACTTTAATACCTTATAGATCATCTTAAAAAATTTTATCTCTTTCTGTCTCTTTCTCTGTGTATGCATATTGAGGGTGTCTGTGAGTAATCGAGTGACGCTCACACCTTATCCTATGTAGAAAAATATGAATGACTAATGTTCAAATTGAGAATTATAAGGTTCTATAAAAAAAAAAAAACTAGATCTCAATCAAGTGTTAATGATCACCAATAGTATTTTACAATTATTGAAAAGAACATCTCGAATCACAAAAAGACATTTTTATCATCGAATAACTTAATGTCAATCAAAAGAAAAAAAAAGTTATCTGAATATTAAAAAAAAATGAAGAACCATGAGAAATCATGTTGGGAATAAAAAAAAAGTAGATCTCGTTTTATTTGTACACTTTGTGCCCTTGTGATATAATCCACTAATAGGAATCATTATGACAAAAATATCAAATATCTTTTTTTAATAATAATGAAATTGTAAACATCTTAGTGTGTAATTAGATAATATTAGCTAGCAATATTAGAATATGAGAATATTACCTTTCTGGATAACCACATTATTTTCTCGCTGTATAGTTCAACACTAATTTACAATTCTGTTTCATAATAGGTATTACTCAGATAGACTTTAAAATAGATCCGATTTAGAGATAAACTGTGTCCTGTAATTTTCAAGCACTTTTATATTCATACCTTCTCTGTCAAGCTCTTCGGTTTGAACCTACTCAGGGTCGCCTGTGTCCAATGATTGTTTTTCTCTCAATGAACGATGAGGAGATTTAGGATATGTTAGAAAATATTGTGAAAACGGCTAAGAAGTTTCAATTTGAGTCAAATAGTACATTTCGCGAGAGAACGTGCTTCTTGTTTTTGATTCGTATATTCGTTTACAAGGGCTAAGCGCTGTATTTTTCTTCGACAAACTGGCTTCGTTCTGTTGTACTTTTTTCGCTTGCTTTCTACTCTTCATGCTTAGTCACTTTCACTCGGACAATAATATGATGTGTTTTGAGAAATGTAATCTAATGTATCTGAATGGAACTTTCTTCTATTACACACTTGATGTGTCTATAAAATTATTCTAATCATCTCTTGACGCATTTTACATCTTAAACATGTATACGCCACACAGCTATTCTATTTTTGCATGTAATGTTTAGGCAGAATGTAGTATATTACACAAAATAACGAAGATTTCATAACTAATAAAAAGAAATAGAATATCATATTGCTCTATGAAGCATTCAAATTTGAAATAGAATTGATCGATCATGTGTCATATATTATGATCATGAATGTATACCAATAACAACAAAATTTCTGCGTCATTCTAACACATGAACGATAGGGCATACATTGTATCAAATAGAATAAAGCAGATGTCTGAGTAGTTAAAAAAGAATAACTGAGCCCACTTCCTATCAGACTGAAAAGGATAATTGTTGATATCAGAATATTATAAAGGATTATTTTATTATAGGCAAGTACGTAAGTATTTGTAGTTGTCCTAGGTTTTCATGTATGTTTTTAACAATAACACCACAAGAATCACGCTTTAAATCCTTTATTTCTCTACTTATAGCATTCTCTTTTCTTTCTTTCCAAACGAAAACACACACTCTTGCCAACTTGTTATTATAATGCCGAAAAAACTTGGCGACAATAAACGTTAAAAGGATTCTAATTTCCTTCTTAATGATAAGGTGATTATTTAGATACGGTCTTGTTCTTCAAAAGTAAAATGAGCATTAAGCAGAAAATTAGCAGCCAAAGAATTTTGTGAAGTACTGCAGGTCTTTTCTCGAATCGAACGTTTTCTTTTTCTGGGCCATTTCATTTGGGTTCTACGGGAAAACGATTGAATATCGGGTGATTAGATCTTTGGAATTTAAAGAAAGGAACTTAGTGATCTATTTAATGCAATCAAGCATTCACTAATAACAAAGACTATGTCATCTTATGCTGATGCTGTTAATAAAGTTAACATAGCCACGACGACAGTTGTACTTTCATTGGCCGTAGTCAACCTTGTAACAGGTGCGATCGGTCTTGTACTAAATGCTCTTGTGTTTACTCGACCAGCACTTCGAGGACAACCGTGTTCACTCTATTTTCTCTCATCAACCTATGCTAATATGTTTGTTGTATTCGTCATCATACCAGTACGGATTGTGTCTGGTGCTTTTAAATTTGATCCGGCGAATTTGCATTTTACTATATGTAAGATCGAATTTTATATGTTCAATGCAACACGTTCTATTTCTATCTGGTTGATTGTATTAGCATGCATTGACCGCTACGTACACAGTCTTCGCAGTGCAATTTGGCGACGTCGTTTGAGCTCGTCAAAGATAGGTGGTGGGATGGTCGCGTTCACTACGTTGCTTCTGTATGCTGTCTATAGCCATACATTGATTTATTATGATATCGTACCTAGTATGGATGTGACTGGTAAAATAAGTTACACATGTAAAGTACAAAATACTGTATATCGAAAATTTTTTGCTTTTTTTCATGCTACCTTGTACTCATTATGGCCATCGTTTTCTATGCTCATCTTTGGTATATTCACGCTTGTTAATATTCATCGACAAAAACAACAAGTGAGACCGATGATTAATAACAACAGATCTGTTCGACGATCAGAGCGTGAACTAATACGAATGTTATCGGCACAAGTACTTGTCATCATCGTGACTACAATACTGTTCCCAATATATCAGATATACGCGTCGATCACGGACAATAATATGAAAACGTCGTTACGTGTGGCCCTGGACAATTTATTTTATCAGATCGTTGCTTGGTTGGGTAACATTGCACATGTGAGTAGTTTCTACTTGTTTACTTTAACAGGTACTGTTTTTCGTCAAGAACTTTATGAAATTCTTTCACGATATATACCATCAAGATACCGGTTGCAACAACATAATGCTACATTAACGACTTCAGTACATTATATAATTCGCACTAAAACCATTCACATATTAATCGGTCGTACTCAAGTCGCATGAGGATCAATTCGTTTTGATAGCAAATTAATTATAGTATATGTCTTAAAAATGTTTACTACATGGTATGAAAAAGTCGAAATATTAATTTTTCTCATTTTGTTTTGTTATTATTAAATAAAATATCTCATAATGAATATTGTGCATTTGAATGTTTGATGACGGCGATGTGTTTCAATAAAAAGTCAAACATACAAATCAGTCCAAACGAAAAAAGCTTCCCAAGTTCTGTGATAAGCTTGAGGAGTAATATGTCGAAGTGACACCGAATTACAAAGTCATTCTTAGCCTATAAATCTGTGCACAAGTCTCAAACACAAGATAATATTTCGCCATCGAGGAATTCATCACCATTGAAAAGAGTTCTCAAGAATTATACATAACATATGCCGATCATTTATGTAGTTGATGAAAAAACAGAAATAATTGTTCGACCAGGACTTTGGTCAACGATCACGATAACCCGAGGAAATTCATGAAAATAGAACCGAGTAGAAATATTCATATGAATTATCATTCATCTGAAGTTGCTGAACATGACAACTGCAGAGCCCAATGACATGTAGGTGTGATGTTGATGAAGCTTGGCTCTTTCTTCAGACTCGCACCCATATTCGCACACCCACATTTACATCCAGACTCTCATCCACTCACAGACATATGCACACTATCAAATAACAAGTCAACACTGTTCTAGCTTCACAAATACCCGGATATATAGAGGAGAGAATATTTGACGACTGCAACAACTATAAGCAACGTGACAAGAACAATAACATGAAGATTACTTTTTCTCTTTTCTTTTGCCAAAAAAGTTTTTTTACTGTTGCTACAATCTATCAGAATATCCAAATTGAAGTGCTTCACATCAGTAAAGCTTTATTATGCATTGAAGGTTGTCTTTCATTTCGTTGTACAAACAAAACTCACAAATCCATTCGTATATATAGAAGCCATTAGTTTTGCCATGAAAGAAACAATAATTTGTTGATGGGAAATAAATTTAAAAGGAAACAATTGCGCAGGAGACTCAATGTCTTTTTTCTATTTTGCGTCTTGTTCTCACTAGTTGCAATTTCAAAGGTAAGCTATATCGGTGAAACAGAAATGTCTTTTATGAAGTTCTGAGGGAATGACGTTTCCATTGGAGAGGTGATTGGATACTGAAAACCCGAAACCTATTTTTCGAGGGAAGGACGCGATATAGTTGAGCAAGGGAAAAAAAATTTCTTATACAAAATTACTTCAACTGTACTCGTTTATGATGAATTCTCCCATGATATGACAGTGGCGTAACTCTGTGAGAGTATGGGCGTGCTATTTCTCTTTATTTCATACTTGCATCCATCCACACTCACATCCCGTATCAGATTTTCAACAAGTCTTTAGGTAAACTAGACAGGAAAATCGTAAATCTCCCTCTAATATCCTGCTGAATTAGTCCATCGCATTTTCGGCAGTTGTGATGTCCAAACAAACCTTGTTTCAATTCGTTATGCCAGCAAATATCTATGTGATGCTGTCAACTTCATCTTATCGTTTCTCTGATTATCTCTAATATTGATATTGAACCAAGTCCAGTGACAAGGATGACACAAATACGCTTTCTCTCATCTTGTCAATGATCAGTAAGTTTAAACTTCAACATTTGTATTTGAATGACTTGAACTTCATCATGCCACAAATATCTTGGCCAGTTAATTACATGTTAGAGCATCTAGAAATGGGTAACTGCACCTTTAGCCAGTATCACACCATTCTCTGCCGATTGCCTCATTTACGGACATTTATTACGAAAGATTGTGATATGAATACTGACAAGAATGCCATCGGCATATCGGATGACCTAGTGTTAGATCTCTTCATTATTCCTATCATATGGTAGGGCTAGGATGAAAGCATGGTTTTTTTACATTGGCAGTCGTGATGTTCTCGTTTGAGGATATGAGTAAATAAAAAAACCTGACAGTTTTTTTCACTAAACCATTCTTTTGAACGTCTCTCACTATACAAATTTTTTGAATTTGATATTGAGAAATTAATTTTCTGAGTGTTTTTGTTGGAAACCACAGCATCCAATATTCTATACAACCATACGCTAAGCACTCGAGTTTTTTTTAAGGTACTCGTAGCTTATTCGGGTAAGCATGATGCACATAGTCCTAACTCAATGTTGATTATTCTATTGGAGATTCTCTCATAAGTTTCATTACATGTGTTCGATATTATCAGAGTCAACAGTAAAAATTTAATTTTCTATCTTTTTATATACCGATTTTAACACAATAGGAACTGGAAAAAGCAAACTTAGAAAAAAACAATATTTTTGACAAAATAATATTTCATATAGAAAGAGTTTCATTGAAGAAAATTTATATCCTAGATATTCTTTCAAGTTCTAGTTGATTATAATGTCTAATTTGGTAGGAACCCTATGATAATAGAGAATTCAAAATTATTCTTGAAAAAATATTATCAAATTACGTTACAAATAATTTCTCATTAAACAGTATGAAATCAGAAGAAAAACTCTTATTCTCGCTGTTCATCTCTAACTGACTGAGCACATTGAATGGAAAGATCTTGTACTAAAAATTTTCTAAATATTCTATATTATATTCAGTTCCATTATTATCATATGTAATGATATTGTTTGTGTTTACTAGAAGATTTGCTTGGGAAATTATCGATTCGTGACAAATGAGAAATAGTTTCTTTTTTCTATTGAGTTTCATATTTCTTTAGGTATGCTATTATTTTTTGTCGTTTGTCTACTATGGAAAGCTCGTACATGTTTATCAGCAAATAAATTTGATTTAAATTCTTGGTTAAAACAAGTTAATTTATTTGAAGGAAAAGAGACCGAACGTAATAGTGGAGGTTTATCAACATATCTTGAATTACCAACTGTGGAACCACATGATAATCAAGTAGCAACAGTTTCATGGATTATTGATGCATGTTGACAATGGCGTCTTATTCAATATCGGCAACAACATCAACTTCTTCAACAAATAACAAATCAACATCCATTGTTTTTAGATCAACATTAATTGCTAACTTAAGACCAAGTATAGTAAATAAATACTTTGATTTCACCGTTAGAAACATTAGATAGCTCACCTCGACGAGTTGTTTCATGGCCTTGTCTTAAATCTACTCATCATCACAATGGTACAATGATGCGTGCATTAGAAGCATGAAATGCTAGAAAACGTCTCATTAAACAACTATCAAGAACTAATGCATCACAGAAATACTAAAATAAAATTTAATGTCCATTTTTTAAAATTTTATTGTTGTATATGAAAATAAACATAGGTTTTAATGAGTGTTTATGTTCGACAAATATAATCTTCATGAACAAAATTTTTCATTAACATAATATAAAGCCAAGTAAAATCAGGCCACAGAGTAGTATTATTACCTTTAGCATCTTGATACCATGAGTGACAACCTCCTTTTTGCCATACTGTTCTCTTTAATCGTGATTGTAAATCTTTATTGTATTGTTCATGTACGGTTTCTTTTATTTCAATAGATCGTATATTATTCTGATTCATGTAAAGAAAAGCTTCAGCTATATAATTAATTTGTGATTCAATCATAATTACAACTGAATTATGACCAAGAGCTGTATTTGGACCAAGAAGTATAAAGAGATTTGGAAAATTAGGTACAGTCACACCACGATATGCCTATGAAACATCAATTTGAACAAATATATATATACATGTCTAAAATTCTTATCTAATATACTAACTTGTATTGTTTCAGACCATTGTTCGACTAATGAGCAACCATTTATTCCATAAACAGGTAATGGAAATTTTTGTGGTTGAAATCCAGTTGACCAAATAATAATATCAACTGGATATTCATCTCCACTTCGAGTAATAATCGAATTTGATTTGATCTCTTGAATACAATCTGCTACAAGTTCTACATTTGGTTTTTGTAATGTTGGATACCAATCATTAGTGATTAACATACGTTTACATCCGAATTCCCATGCAGGTGTTACTTTTTTTCTTAATTCTACATCTTTTACTTGTCTTTCAAGATTATATTTAACTAATCTTTCAATTATAAATTTTAATGGCCAACGATAAGCAAACGAAAGTGCAATAGGTTCATATATCCAATAAACAATAAGACGAAAGAATTTTAGAATTATTGGAAAACGTTTTAATAGATTTTTTTCCCGGTCACTAATTGGTCTATCGATACGAGGAATAATCCATGGTGGAGTTCGTTGAAAAACAAGTAATTTTGATACATTCATCTTTTGAATTTCAGGAACTGCTTGAATAGCACTTGCACCAGTACCAACAAAAGCTACATGTTTATTTTCAAAAGTAATTTGTTTATTCCATTCAGCTGTATGACACATTTGACCTTGAAATTTATCAATACCAGGAATATCACTTGGATAAGAAGCATTTGATAATAGTCCTGAACCGAGAATAATTGATCGAGCATAGAAAATTTTTTCTTCTCTATTTGATTCAGTTTTAATTTGCCATGATTGTCTTTCTTCAATCCATTTCAATTGTGTAACATTAGTATTAAAATGAATATGTTGACGGAGATTATATTTATCTGTACAATATTCAAGATATTCAGCTATTTCAGATTGTCGACTAAGATAATGTGACCATTTTGGATTAAGTTCAAATGAAAATGAATAAAGATATGACGGAACATCACATGTACAACCTGGGTATTGATTTGCATACCAAGTTCCACCGACATGCCCATGTCGTTCAATTATAATGTAATTATTCATTTCAAGCTCATTCATTTTAATTGCGGTACCAAGACCAGAAAATCCAGCACCAATAATAATAACATAGTATTCATCATCTTTTTGATCGTTTATACATTTTAACTTTCGCTTAGCTCGTTTTTCAGCACGACCAAACGAGTCATATATAAGCCAATAAAAGAAATGTGCAATAAAACCTATTATTAACGAAGTAAATACCAAGATAAAAAGGCAGGTTAATAATAATAATATATCTAATTTAAAGGGTAATATTTGTCTCATCTAAAACAAGAATATATGCAATGATAATATTTAGGATAAATAAAATAAAAAATATGAAAGAAAAGAAACAGGTGTATTTGTTATCATCTGGTCTTAACTATTTCATTTTCATATATCAAACGTTGATTTTTCATATCATTAATAAACATGAGTATGTGATGAGAATGTTATGATATAGGTTATTCTAAGTCGTTAATTGCATAGTGTATTCTTTCTTGTACGTTCGTATGTATTACTGCGCTTTGTCCGCTCTTATACCATGTATTGCATTCTATTATTCTTTTTTTTTCTGTTCGTCTCGCTGTTCTTTCAATGGATTGGCCTCTCGCAACGAAGAAAAAACATCATTGATATACCACTGCACGTGAAGGAGATACGGTATTTTCTACAATGATATATATGTATTATGCTGATTAGTCTAATTAGCAAACTATATCAAGTAATGTAGGTGTCGCTGACCGGAAGAAGTAAGTTTTTATGTCTCAGTGTGTGTTTTTTCATTCTTTTATTAAAAATTTTTGTCTGATTTGCAATAAAAACGAGTGATATATACCGATGAAAAAGTAATGAGATAGTTGTTAACAAAGAATTTGCTGTTTATGTTAAAATATTTTGCCAAAGCATTGACAATATTTAAAACAAAACTGAATTCTAAATATAGTAACAAGGATATTTCTTTTCTTGAATGAAAGATTGAAGAATAATTTTCTTCCTAAATTTTTCAAATAATGTTTTAATAGATTCTAATTTATTAAAACTATACTAGACATTTTACAACTCAGGACGAATAGTACAAAATTTTTTCTACATACGCAGAAATATCATCGTAATTCAAACCCACATAATACGTCAGTATATAATCAAATAACGTCGTTGACAAACGCACTTATTTAACTTGGAGATAGCATAGAAACAAAAATAACAATATTATTTTGTATTATTCTTTCTTCAATTTTATAATGATATTACAATGATTTATCCATACAACTAATCACTATGACCGTCTTGTTTCTTATTACTATGACAATAAAGAAAGACAAAAAAAAGAGAATCCATATTTTAATCTATGTATAATTATGTCTCATCTGAAGACGTTGCTTGTAGCACCGATCTGTCTCAATATTGTATAAGATATAAAAATTAGAATGTACTAAATAAGTAAACAATTAAAGAATGTCCTATTATGGTCTGTTACGATTGGAACTGGAGAATCTTCATCATCAGATTGAATCATTGGATTCACGCTTCTGAATGCATACTATTTTTTTGGAATTTTCTGTCAGCTCTTCATTCATTCATTCAAGAACACAAAAAGATGTTTCGTGCATAAGAATGGATGATGATTGTAAGAAATTATTACTTTCGATAAGAATCATTCAAATTGATATTGGTTAAAAAACATTTTACTATTAAATACTAGGGAAATAATACACTAAATATATTTATAGTAATACTATTTTTCAAAAATATAGTTTTGATAATGAAAGTTTTTCATTGATAAATGATTAATTCATGTAAAATCTGGTTATGTTGTTGAAAAAATACCTTTTCGATTTTGATAACCTAAACGACAACCACCTGAATGCCATACTATTTTATTTCGATTGTATACATTTATTTTATGCATCGTATATACTCTGTTTTATTAAAAGGGTGTGAATGAACAGAAGACCCACCCAAACTAATGAATAAAGAGCTTTGAAAATAAAATAATACAAACCTTCTAGGAGAAGAAATAATTTATTCTTTGGTTTCATAGGGTAATTTTAAGCTGATATAAGCGAGACTTATAGTCTTCAAGGATACACATTTAACACTTTGTATCGGTAGATGTGGGTGTGAATCTTCCCTCAAGTCAAATCCTCATCCACACCCAAACTTAAAAATCAAATTTCATGATCAAATCTATGCCATTCATTGTCCAATTTTCAATAGAACGTTTCATTTTTCTTAGAGTAAGTCACTCAAAAGGCTAATTTTTGTGGATTTAGCTTTTTTCTCAAGCTTTGAGATGATCAAAACAACGACAAGATAATTTTATTCATCAAAGTTCTATATGAACAGCTGATAATAAAAAATGAATCTTATTGATAATTTAGCGATACATTCACAGCGTTATCTAAAAATATGTTGATAAATATTGACAGAATTCTTGTAGTAATAAATTTTATCATGCCTACCTTATCGTTCCTTTTATACTTCGTTCACTTGATTGATCAAAACGTAGATAATTTGTGTTACCGATATGAACGATACGAAAGAAACTCACTGCTGATCAACTTTTCCGATCAACGACATTCGTCGCTACGCACCACGTCTTGCGGATGTGGGTGTGGATGGGTGTGTGAGTGTGGATGAAATAAAGACCGTCACTGGCATCCACACCCACACTCCCACCCTCTGGAGATCCATATAATCAGCTTGTAACTATTCGTCGATATGAAATTCGAGAAAAGATCTTTTCACTTGGTGATAATTTTAAAAGTAAAGATGAACTTGGTCAGGATGTATTTATTGTTCGGTCTAATTTTTTGTTCATTTGACAACAAACTTACTCTTGAAGACATACATATATGCAAAGTAAGTCATCAGATAATTCTTTTACTGTGTCTAGTTTATTAAGAAATGGTCCATAATAAATATTTAAAAATACCACTAAAATTCTAAGAGATTCTATTCTTATTGACAGAAAAATATACACGTAGCGTAAAAACAAAATTCTAATATTCTTTTTTGTTAATTTCTAATGATTTAGTTAAAATTCATGAAGAACTATTTCGCCTTCATCGTACGTACAACATCTTATCAGTTCGTCATACTGATTCAGACCAACAATTAGCTGTTGTTACAAAGAAATTTTCATTCATTCATGCAAAATTTGTTATTTCATTTGTCTATGGTTAATATTCTATTGAA